GGGAGTGCTGAGGTCTGCCCGGCTCTTCCGCTCCTGACCTCCTGCCAAGGATGCTGAGGGCACCAAGAGGAATGAAGCAGGACCGAAAGGCTGAGGGTCCAGGACTACAACTCCCACGTGGTGCTATCCGGAGAGGAAACCATTCCCCCCTGCCCTTGACAGCACTGAGGTGGGCGGGCAAGAGATTGCCACGGGGGGGGAGGAGGTGGCTGGGCATCCTGCCAGGCACAGGACCCCAAGGCCCCTCAGCCCCCAAACGGATGGGTTGCAGAAAGGGGGTCCCTCAGCAGAGGCTCCAACACCAGGGGCCTCCCAGAGCCCCCCCAGCAGTGAAGCCCCCAGGGGAGGAAGCAAAGCGAGCCCCTGGCCCTGGAGGGCATCCCAACGCCCCCAAGGAAAACGGGTGGCGAGTCCGGCAGTCCCCGCCAGAGCGCCAACAGGGAGGGGGCACATCAGGCGGAGCCTCTGCTGAGGGACCCCCTTTCCGGGCAGGAAGGCCAGGCAGACCCCGGCCAAGAAAGGGGAGCCTCTCCGGCAGGACCCGAAGCAGGCAGGCCAGCCGGCCGGCCGGCGGGGAGGGTGGAGGTGGAGGCAGCAGCGGCCCGTAGGCAGATTCACCGCCTGCCCTGTTTACTCAAGAGCAGCCCCTGCCCGTGAATCGAAACCATCCGGCCCCCGGCCCAGGGACACGGTCTCCAGCCTGGCGGGAAAGAGAACCAAGTCTAACACACACACACACACACATACACACACACACACACACACAAACACACACACACACACACACCCCTCCCCAAGGAAAGCAGCCCAGGAGGAACTGCTCTCCCCCTCAGGGCAAGCCTGCGCTCTCCACCCCCTCCCCCAAATAAAGAGGGAGGGGAGGGGGTGCTTTGAAAAGGGGGTCGGTTTCTCAAGGCAGGCTTCGACACAGGAGCACAAGAGGAGGATCGGGGCCTCCTGGCATCTTTTTGTTGTTGTTTTAAAACAACTTTGGACAGAAGCTCGCCCTTGGCGGCCCAAGGAGAACCTCCCGGTCCTTCTGCCAGGCTCGTGTGTGTGTGTGTGTGTGTGTTTCCCCTCTGGGGAAGGGGAGGGGGAGCTGGCGGTTGTTTTCCTTCTGGAGGTGAAGCTCTGAACCAGGTCACAGGACATGGAGCCTCTTCTCCCCCCCCCCTCAGCACACCCTCTCCCTCTCCCCACGGAAGGCAGCGAGGATGGGGGTAAAGAGGGAGGGACTCTGAAGCCCCCTCCTCGCCCAGCCCTGCTCCTCCCCTCCCCTCCCCCACGCCATCACGCCTTTGAACTTTAAAATGTGATCTGATCCTGCCTCGCCCTGTCCGGGACCCTGGGCTAAAAAGGGAAGCAGGATGGCTATGAATAGTCCCAGGGAGCAGGCGGGTGGGCAAGGCAGGCGGGCAGGGTAGGCCTCTTCCTCCTCCCCCCCACCCCATCCGCCCATCCGCCCTGGAGCAGGGCAGGATCTCACCCACCTTACGCTCAGCAGTGGGGCAAGGA